GAGCCATTCAAACAAGTGGCTCCGGCAGCACTTCGGAGCCGGGGCTGGGGAGAGGGCGCAGCGCGGCTCCCTGCCCCGGGGGCGCCGGGCCCTTCACACTGCCTCTTTCCTCTGGCGCTCGGTCTTTATTTGACGATGAAATAATGTTGACATGTCTTGAATTATTAAGTATTCCCTGGATTTTATTAGCACATGATGCCTAAATGCTGCCTGTATCTGCTGGGGTCTTAACCAGAGAGGAGCGAAGGAGAGAGGCAGAGAGACAGAGCGAGGGAGAGGAGAGAGAGGGGTTTTTGACAGCTGTATTTGTGCTGATAAGCGAAGGCACAAGGAGACGATCGACTAGTGAGACAAGAGGGAAGCGGCGGCTCGGAGCTGCTGAGAGGGGCTGCGCTTCCCTCCCGAGACGGCTCGGCCCTCCCGGCGCCGTGACGGGGCTTGGGGGGGACCCGAGTCCCTTCCCAGCGCCTGGCTGGGCTCTCGGCCGGTGCCTGTGCCGGGGGGAAGCTCGCTGGCTGGGCACGCCGGCTGCGCGGGGCAGATGCCGATTGAAATTGTGTGTAAAATCAAATTTGCCGAGGAGGATGAGAAGCAGAAGGAGAAAGAAGAAGGGGATAAGGAGAGCCTGATCGAGGAGCCCGCACGGCCCCGCTCCCGGGACCTGGCTGCCTTCGCCAGCGCCAGCACGCTGCACGGCCTGGGACACATCTGCCAGTCGGGGCGGCTAGGCGTGCGCCAGACCCTCTGGGCGTTCGCCTTCCTGGCCTCGCTCGCCTTCTTCCTCTACCAAGCGGCCAAGTCAGCGCTGCTCTACCTGGAGCACCCCCACGTCATGGCCCTGGACGAGGAGGCCATCCGCGAGATGGTCTTCCCCGCCATCACCATCTGCAACATCAACCGCTACCGCCACTCGGCGCTTACTGATGCCGACATCTTCCACTTGGCCAACATGACCGGGCTGCCCCCCAAGGACCGAGACGGCCACAAGGCCACGGACCTGCTCTACCCCGACCCCGACATGGCCGACATCGTCAACCGCACTGGCCACCAGCTTGACGACATGCTCAAGAGCTGCAACTTCAGCGGCGAGAACTGCTCCTCCCGCGATTTCACTGTGGTGAGTGCACGCCTGGCTCAGCTTCCCCGGGGGCCCCCGGCAGCGTGGGGGGCACCCACCCGGCCGCGCCTCGCCGGAGCAGGGCTCCCTGGCTCGCTCCCACTGCTGAAGTTTGCATCTCTCCCTGTTTGAGTTTCCCTCCAATTTTCACACGGAGAGAGAAAGAGGATCCTCCATAGGAGCTCTCAGCAGGGGTCTGCACTGCAGGACTGGGCTGCTGGCAAGTCCGTGCCAGAGGGGCTCGCAGGCAGGAGCCTGGGCGGGGGGGGGGGGGGGGGGCTCAGCGGCTCCCCGGGGGGGGGGGGAG